AGATCTCAGCCTCCTGAGTAGCTAGGATTACGAGCTACTAGCTACTAGCATCTGGCCACACTTTCCTTCTTGGTTAAGACAGGGTACCTAGCATCCATCTCCAGCTACCCCTACTCCTACTCCTACTCCTCCAGGCTTCCGAGGAAACATACCCTCTCTTAGGACAAAGAAATAGGATGCACTGACAGGTTTGAGTTTTATGTTCTCCACACAGTCAGGGGCCGCTGGGAGCTGATGTGGAGGTCAGAGATCTAGGCCAGGGCAAGTAGACAGCTGTTAGAACAGAAGACAGTATGAAAAGAAGGGGCTGGGAAGGTGGCTCAGTGGTATAGCGCTTGCCTTACATGCCTGAGGCCCTGGGTTTGATTCCTCAGCACTACATAAGCAAAAAGAAAAAAGCTGGAGGTGGTGCTGTGGCTCAAGTGGTAGAGCGCTAACCTTGAGCTGAAGAGCTAAGGGACAGCGCCCAGGCCCTGAGTTCAGGCCCCATGACCGGACCCCCCCCCCAAAAAAAAAAAAGAAAAGAAAAGATATCCTTGCAGCTGGATGCCAGTGGCTCATGCCTACAATCCTAGCTACTCAAGGCTGAGATCTGAGGATCAATCAAGATTCAAAGCTAGCCTGGGCAGACTCTTACCTCCAATGAATCACCAAAAAGCTGTGAAGCAGAGCTGTAATTCAAGTGGTAGAGCACCAACTTTGTGCAAAAAAGCTAAAGGATAGCACCTAGGCTCTGAGTTTAAGCCCGAGTAAACACACACACACACACACACACACACACACACACACACACACACACACACACACACACTAACATCCTTGGCAGGTACCAGTGGCTCACAGCAGCAATCCTAGCTACTCAGGAGGCTGAGATCTGAGGATGGCAGCTTGAAGCCAGCCCGGGCAGGAAAGTCTGTGAGACTCTTCTCTCCACTAAACTACCAAAAAAGATGAAAGGTGAGCTGTGGTTCAAGTGGTAGAGTGCTAGCCTTGAGCCAAGGAAGCTCAAGCTCCAAGATCAGTTTAAAAAAAAAAAAAGACACACTTACCCCCCCTCCACCAGGCCATAAATCCAGATTTTTTTTTTGTTTGTTTGGTTGTGGGTCTTGAACTCTGGGCCAGGGCGCTGTCCCTCAGCTCTTCAGCTCAAGGCTAGCATGTTACCACTTGAGCCATAGCACCACTACTTACTTTTTCTGCTTATGTGGTGCTGAGGAATCGAACCCAGGGCCTCATGCATGCGAGGCAAGCACTCTACCACTGAGCCACCTTCCCAGCCCCAATAAATCCAGATTTTGGTCATCATAGATCTCACTTTCGCTCCTGCCACAAGTGGCAGGTGTGTGGCCAGCACTGGGTTAAGATGTGAACACACACAAGGGGGGGACATAGCCAGGTCAAGGCTAATGCCCCAGAACATTGAGGTATTGGCCATACCAATCTCTCATCCCCCCCAGTTCCCTGGCCCTGGAATCTAAAGTCTGTGCTTCTGTATTCTGGGCATCCGGAATTGTCTAGAAGGATCTGAGAGGCCCAGCTGGGGCCGGAAGATAGACTTTCCTGTGATAAGGTACATTTCCTAGACACCAAGGGAGACTTACAAGCCACCTTGGCCTCACCTCCCATCATCTAGTCCCGGATCCTCCTTGCTTGGGCAGCCTTCAGTGAACTATCAAGCTCAAGTTGGCCAGAGCCACCAGCAGTCCCCTTCCCCCACTCCACTGCCAGCCCGCTGGGAGGGACGTGCAGCCAGAGGCCCAGCTGAGGCAAAGGACAGGACATCACGTGACTGAGGCCCCCCCAGAGGCAGGGGAGACCCTACGCCAGCCGGCCCATCTTTCTCCCTGCTGACCCAGAATCCCCTGGAGGCGGCCAAATATTTGGACAGCCGGACTTGGGCCCCAAAGAAAAGCTGGAACGCAGGCCTCTGGCAATTTAGGATTCATTATAGACCCTGATAGGGGGCTAAAGGCAAGGTCGGTGTGGAGGAGGGGCACCATCAGAGGTCAGAAAGAGGCAGAGAGAGGCCCAGGGAGGGAACAGAGAAAGACGAGGGAAAAATAACACACACACACACACACACACACGCACACACACATTACACATACTGTTCTAGGCAGACCACAGGCCCAGGAGCATGGGACACAATTAGAGGAAAACAGAGAGACAAAAACACTTGTTGATAGATGGTTTAGGCATTCAGACAGGGAGACAGAGACAAAGATAGCCAGAGAGGTGAGAAAAAAAAAGAGAGAGATGGCCAGCCAATCAGAAACAGCCAGGTAGACAGACAAACAGAGCAAGAGATGGCAAAGGGACACCTCATGAAAGACACAGAGAGCCCCAGAAAAATCAAGAAGGGGAGAGGGAACCAAGATGCCTTTTCTTGGTGACAGTAGACCCAGTGGGCTCTGGGAAGACAGTCAAACACCCCAGAGGCCACTTGAAGTCCACTACCTCATCTCTAAGTCTCCATATGGTTGGGCTATGCTTCTATCAGGTACACTGCCAGTCAGTGACCAACCTTGTTAGTGCCTTAAGACCGAGCTCATCTGGAAAGCGCAGGGAACCCAGAGCCAACACCTAAGGCTTGTCTACCTGAACAGTTAAAAAGACATGACAGTCAGCCAGAGTGACTACCATTGTCAGTGGCCACACACATGTGCAGACGTGCTGGCTGAGAGGCTGTGTACAGGACGTGGCCCGCAGGGCGGAAATTCAAAAGCAAGCAACTTTAGGCCCCTGGCAGGAAAGCCCCTCCTGCCCTAGCAGCTGGGCCTTCCCTTTGGTCCCCCCAGAAGCCTTGCCTGGTCCTCTGGAGCCCCACCCTGCCCTCCTGTGTCTCCTACCAGGCAGAATGAAAGGCCTACCTCTTCAGTATTCTTCCATTCACCAGACTGCTGGTGTTCAGTAAGTGGTCAATGAATGGAGGGGGTTCAAGGCCCTTTGAGCCAACCCTCAGCTCATCTTAAGTGTTCTAAGAGGGCCTGTTCTCTACTGTGCCTGGTGTCTAGACTAGAACATTCTCCCATGCGCCCTACTAGGCTGCACATCCCATTTCAGCTTTCTGCCCCCCCACACTCATCTCTTCAGTAGGCCACCGTCTCCTCCCTTATAATATGTATTCCTGACCTGGCACCGATGATTCGTGTCTGTACTACCCAGCTAGTCAGGAGGCTGAGATCTGAGCATTGCCGTTCAAAGCCAGGCCAGGGAGTTAAGTTCACAAGTATCTTTTCTTCAATGAAGCACCAAAAAGCCAGAAGTGGAGGTGTCACTCAAGTGGTAAAATGCCAGCCTTGAGCAAAAAAGCTCAGGGACAGCATCCAGGCCCTGAGTTCAAGTCCCAGTACTAGCAGGCACACACACACACACACACACACACACACACACACACACACACACACACACAAGCAAATATGTTCTTATGTTCCTATCTAGACTTCCATGGTATGTTTCACTCAGCTTAAAATCTTTCTTTGGCCCAGAACCATGAACCACCTCCCTTTCTCATCATGCCTCAGTTTCTCCATTTAAGGCTACTTGCTAGGGCACTGGCACAAGCATAGGAGCAACAGGCAATCATGGCATCGCCATGTGGAGCCCTGGATGGCAGGAGTTTGGGAGGCCAGTGAATAACATATCCACTGGGTCCAAGCAGAATGAAGTTCTGAGACACACACCTTGCCCAGAAATCAGAGATTGCCATTCCTGATTTCAGTCATTCATGGTCTCGCAGAGAAGTGTCAGGCCTGGCTTCATACAATCCCAGTCCATCCTACCACTGGGGATTCTTAGAGAAAGCCTCCATCTCTGGTGCAGAAACTCCCCCTTCCAAATAAGAACTGCTTGGATCTCTATAGCATTTGCCTTTCCAGATGGAGTGCTCCAATGGACTGGTCTTTCTCTTCCAGAAGGATCTAAGCCCCCATCCTAGACTGTCTACTAAGGGGTTTCTTCCAGGGGTGATGCTGTTGGCAAGCATGGCAGGAAACAGGTCTGGTAGGCTGAAGGAAGGACTCAAGAGAGTATCCTGGCTCCAGGAGCAAGACCCTTGGCGTTAGCCCTTCTCAGTCCTCTTTGGGAGCCCATAGCTGGGCACAGGGTTCAGGTCACTGGAGGGGAAAGGGCAGATTCCCCACAGGCCCCACCCCTGGCCTCCTTCCTCCAGTGTAAACAAACGCACGCACTAGCCATGGCCAATGAAAGGGGCCAATGAGGGGGGGGGGGCGGGCTCATGCAAACTGAGTCTGGGTCCCTTCTCTCCTGGGGACCCCATGGCAGGTGGGGAAGGGGACATCTGCCCTCCCCCCAACGCCACAAGAACCCTACTCTCCCAGCTTGCCCCCCCTTGCAACAAATGGGGTAGGGGTTCTGGGGTAAGCATGTACCCCCCCCCATGGCCCCCTTAGGAACGCGATCTGCCCTCAAAACCTTGCCCAAGGAGACTGGGATAAATGCACCCAGATTCCCAGCCTGCCAGCACCGTGTCGGGTGCTCTGGGGGGAAGGGGGGCCCCTCGGGGACCCTCTCTAGTCCATGCTGGGGGGGGCGGCAAGCCAGATCGAGGTACCTCTGCACCGACTCCCCAACTTCTCAAACTAGGTTTCCGGTGATCCCGGGACGAGGGATTGAGGGGTGGGGGACAGCTGTCCAGCTCGGCTCGGCCAAGAAGTTTCTAGTCAACGTGGGGCCCCTGTGGGGACCTTGGCGGGAGCTCAGAGCCGGGTTCCGCCGGGAGCAGGTCTGCAAACCGGTGCCCGGGACTCCACGGAGCCTGGGCGCGCCGTCTGCTTTGGTGGTGGTGGAGGGGGGGATCGGGGTGGGGGGGGGGGAGGTTTGACATCGGAGAAGGGGAGGGGGGGGAGCTTGCCCAGAGCAAACCCCGAAGGGGCTCAGCCCTCCCTGCGTCCCTGGACTGGGAGGAGGAACGGAGGGGGGGGTGTCCACGGGTCCCCCCCACCCCCCCTCCCCGCCGCCCCGTCCCGTCCCCGGGGTACCTGGCCTCGTGGGCGGGCAGGCGCGGCGCTCCGCTGCTCCGCTCGGGCTGGTGCGGTCCGCCGTGTTCCTGGCAAAGCACAAGGCTGAGAACAGAGACGGCCCCGGCTGGGGATGAAGGGCTCCCGGCCCCGCCCCTGGCCCGCCCCCCCTCCCCTCCCCTCTGGCCCCTGTCAATCCCCTGGGCTGCCTGCTGGGGGGGGGGGGGGGAGGGAGGAGGAGGGGCTGGTCCTGGGGAAAGGCAGTGGGTGGGTGGGGGCCAGGCCGGCCAGGAGTGTGTGTGGGGGGGGATCGGAATGGGGGGGTGGAGAACATGGGGGACCCCAAGACCCCTAAGGTGGGAGAGCTGGGATGGAAAAGATACCCTGGAGTCTTGGGATGGTGTGTGGGGTGGGGATGCCTCAGGGCCCAAGCAGACTGTCTGTCAGAACACTGGCGGCCCTTAACCCCTGAAATACTTTGCCTTCGGATCCCTGAAGCCAGAGGGAGAGCTTTCGCCAAGAGGAGTGAGAACAAGGCAAAACTTCACTTTCCCCAGCTGGGGTAGGGTGGGGTGGGGGTGGTCTCTGAATGAAGCCACCACAACTACGTATTATCTTGAGTGCCCAAGGCTCACACCTGTAAATCCTGGTTACTCTAGGAGGCTAAGATTTGAGGATCAAGGTTGGAATCTCTAGCTCCTGTAAGAAAAGTCCAAGAGATTATCTCCAGTTAAGGAGCAAAAAGCTGCCAGTCTCACCAGTAATGGGATCCCAGTTGGAGGGAAAATTCTGTTTTCACCCTAGTAATCAAAAGGGTGTGTATGGTTGAGCAGGGTGCCAGTGGCTCACGCCTGTCATCCTAGCTACTCAGGAGGCTGAGATCTGAGGGTCGAGGTTCAAAGCCAACCCCTGCAGGAAAAGTCCAGGAAACTCTTATCTCCCATAAACCACCAGAAAACCAGAAGTGGCGCTGTAGCTCAAGTGGTAGAACACTCACCTTGAGCTGAAGAGCTGAGGGACAGTGCCCAGGCCCAGAGTTCAAGGGTATGGTTGCAACTAGAGGGAGGAGGGAAGGAGGGGAGAGGTAAGCTAGTTCTGTATCTTGCGCCATATCTTTCATTCTTTCTTCTTTTGTATGTGCTGGCACTGGGGCTTGAACTCAGAGCTTAGATGCTGTTCCTTAGCTTTTCATTTTTCCCCCCCTCAAGACTAATGTTCTACCAGTAGAGCCACTGTTCCACTTCCAGCTATTTTTGGTGATTAATTGGAGATAAGAGTCTCTGGAACTTAACTACTTGGGTTGGTTTTGAACCGTGATCCTCAGATCTCAGCCTCCAGAGTAGGTAGGATTATAGGTGTTAGCCATTGGCGCCTGGTTTATATCCTTCATTCTTTATTATTACCGTGTAGGAAATTGCCCATGGATATAGGAACTGGAATTTGGTGCCCAGAAAAAGGGGCTTTGGGGGGAGGAGGTCTTCCTTCTTGGCTAGAGGCTCCTGCTTCCTAACTAGGAGCTTGGTTCTCAGAGGTGGATGGCAGGCATAAGGCCCAGATCTAGCCTAGAGGGGTGGGGGAGGCACTGATCTTTCAGGGTAAAAGGGAGGGGGGGTTCTCAGAGCATCTGTGTGAGCCACTTGCTTCTCAGCCACTGGCTTTGATCCGATTAATCCCATGGCTTCTGCTGTTCCTATCCAAGCTAGACTTCTCTGTACCATGTCTGACCCCCCCCCCCCCCACTTTCCTGGCACAGGGGGTAATACTCTCAAAGGATAGGCCTCACCCCTCCCCTGCCTTGGGCTGAGAGTCAGGACTCTCAGAATCCAGGACTCCCGGATTCTTTTCCTGTTGACTCACAGTACCACTACAGCCAAGCCCTAACATGCCTCAGTTTCCCTCTGTTGTCATAAAGTAATAGCTCTGTTGTTTACCCTGGCCTGAGGGGAAAGGGAAAATGATAGGCTCAGCTGTGGGACAAGGGTCTCAGCGGCAGCGGAGAGAGCCAGGGGCCGGGAGGGTTAAAGAAAAAAGGCATTTGGATGAGGACAACTTTCAAAAACCTTAAGACAGTCAAGTCTTAAGTCTTACTGCTAAGCTAGAAGACAGGAAGTAACTGGTTATGCCTCCTGATTAGGGCTACCAGACCAGAGCTCATGGTGATCATGAAGACCCATTAAACTTGTGACCTCCACAGTGTTATGATGTAGAGATGCACATATGTCATCCGCAGGCTCTGAGGTAGGAGAATCAAGAATCTGTGGTCAAGCCAGGAGCTGGTGGCTCACGCCTGTAATCCTAGCTACTCAGGAGGCTGAGATCTGAGGATCATGGTTCAAAGCCAGCCTGGGCAGAAAAGTCCGTGAAACTCTTATCTCCAATAAACCACTAGAAAACCGGAAGTGGTGCTGTGGCTCAAGCAGTAGGAGAGAGAGAGAGAGAGCCCAAGCCCAGAGTTCAAGCCCCATGACTGACAAAAAAAACAAAAATCTGTGGTCATATCAAGTTTGAGGTCAGCTTGGGCTACATCATGAGACCCTCTCTCAGAACACAAATAATAATAATAACAACAATAATAATAATAAAAGAGCCTGGCTCCAGTGTCTAACTTCTGTAATCCTAGCTAGTGAGGAGGCTGAAACCAGAGGATTACAATTTGAAGCCAGCTGAGGCTGGAAAGTCCTTGAGATTCTTATCGCCCATTAGCTACTGAAAAGCTGCCAGTGGAGGTGTGGCTCAAGTGGTAAAACACCAGCTTTGAGTGGAAAAGCTAAGGGAGAGGGTCCTGGCTCTGAGTTCTGAGTTCAAGCCCCAGAACCAACCAGCATTAATAACAATAATAGCAATCATCATCATCATCATCATCATCAATGGCATGCGACAGAGACACTCTAAATGCTCATGGGAGCCATCTGCAAAGGGCTGACAGCCTCCATCAGTAATTCTTGAGGGGCTAAGACTGGCTCAAGGGACTGGAAGGAGAAGGAGCTGGTTGGGTTGGGCTGGTGTGGGAGGCCCCCAAAGCTGGTATAAATGTGGGGTCCCTGGATCAGGCCAGTTGTGGCTAGAGGAGAGGCTGACTGTTTGTTGTTGCTAAGCCTGGGCCCCCCGCCAGGGCAAACACAACAGTGAGGCCTTTCCTACCACCTGCCGAATCTCCCAGCCCTAGGCTGCAGAGAGACTGGACAGCTGTGCATTCAAGATGGGGTTCTGGGAGGTGCTAGACACCCTCTCCCAGAGGCTGGAGGGAATACCCATGCATGCATCCACTCTGTGTATTTGGGGGCTCCTGTCTAGGGAAAGGAGGGGAAGTTATTTATCTCTGGCATCAGCCCAGCTCCTCCCACCCCTCCTCTAACTCTATATCTCAAACACAGGTCCAGGAGATCGCCAGACACGTGGAGCAGGAGTTAGGATTCTAGGCAGGCTCCTTCTCTTACATCCAACTAGTCTCCTTGATTCTAGTCCCTTCTCCAACCCAGCCAGGACCCAGACGAGCCCAGAACCATGTCACCTTTATGCTTCTGCGCGTCTACCACTATGAGTTCCAGGGCTTGAGGTACATCCCTGGTCTCACCTTCTTGACAAACTCTGGCTTGTCCTTTAGCACCTCTGAAAAACCTGCCAGAGCCACTAGAAAACCCAGCAATTCCAGATCTCAGTACTCAACGGTAGCTAGACTTCTATAGCACCCAAGGTCCCAGCCTCAGTGATCTCTGTATGCATCTGGAAGTAGGAAAGGGAATAGAGGGGCTCTCCATAGAAAAAGGCCTACCCGGATGGAGGAAAAACCTGACAAAGAAGCAGCCAGAGTGGGGAAGAGAGAAAGACATGCCTAGAATCAGCATGGGTAGACAAAGGGTTGGGTGTCATGTTGAGGAATAGAGGGTAGCATAGGAGAGAGTGGCTCTTACTGGACACGCTAGGGTAGAGGACCTAGGCCCATGGACCTGAGTGTACTTGGTTCAGTTTGGAGCTCTAGAGGCCGCCCTTTGTGTATGAGCAGGTTTTAGGGTCACTATACAGGCAGTAGAAGTATGAAGGAGACCCAAAGGCAGCCCTTCCATTTAGCCTTTCCCAGCCTGCTACCCTCAGAGCGGGTGGCCTCTCTGCCAGGCCCGGCTCCTGTAGTCCTGGCATGCCTCCCCTCTCTCTTGAGATTTGGCCCCCAGCTTCTCTGGCCACTGAAGCAGCTTAATGAGTCCAGGTCACATGCATTGTACTACTGCCCATAGGGGAGGGCTCCCAACCCCCTCAGTGGTCATCCAGCCAGGCTCTGACGTCAGTGGCATTAACCATCCACCAGGCTTGTCTAATCTCTGGTCAGTGGCTGAGCCAAGTCAGTCTTTTCAGGGCCAGGGGCTAGAGATCACGGGGGGGGGGGGGGGGGCTGCGTGATACCTTAAAGACAGGGGTGGTGACTGGGAAGGTGGCTCAGTGGTAGAGTGCTGGCCTTGCATGCCTGAAGCTCTGGGTTCGAGTTCTCAGTACCACATACACAGTAATGAGAACACACAGAAAAAGCCAGAAGTGGTGCTGTGGCGCAAGTGGTAGAGTGCTAGCCTTGAGCCAAAGAAGCAAGAGAGAGAGAGAGAGAGAGAGACAGGGATGGTGGAGGCTACAGGTACACATAATAAATGCCCCATACGTGATAGGCGTGGCCACCATGCTGACTCAGGGTCAACTCTCTCTGATCCTCTGCCCTGGACTAATCAGCACCAGGCACTCATTGATCCTGCTTCTTAGGGTGTAATTACACTGGTGTGGTGAGTTTAGGAATAGGAGGCTTCTGACCCAGCTATGAGGAAGAGCCCATTAGCCTACCTTTCCCCAATATTCTGGCTTCTTCCTTTTTTTGTTGTTGGTTCTGGTTGGTCCTGGGGCTTGAACTCAGGACCCAGGTGCTGTCCCTGAGCTTTTGTGCTCAAAGCTAGCACTCTTCCACTTCAGCCACAGTTCCATTTGCAGCTTTTTGGCGATTAATTGGAGATAGAGTCTCAAGGACTTTTCTGCCCAGGCTGGCTTTGAATCATGATCCTCAGATCTCAGCTTCCTGAGATGCTAGGATTATAGACGTGAGACACTGGTGTCTGGCACTAGTCATTCTGAAGCTAATCCTTCCAGCTGCTCCTCTTGTTCTTTACCTGTATCTGTCCACTAAATCTCTATCTCTGTGTGTGTGTATGTGTGTGTGTGTGTGTGTGTGTGTGTGAAAGTGCTAGGACTTGAAAATTAAGTCCTTTTGTTTGTTTTTGCTAGTATTATACCACTGGTACTTAATTGGAGTGATGAGTCTTTTGGATTTTCCTGCCCCTGTTGGTTTTGAACAGTGATCGTCAGATCTCAACCTCCTGAGTAGCTAGGATTATAGGTGTGAGTCACTGTTGCTTAGCTTTACTATGCCATCTTATCCAATAAGCTGCTGGGGGAGAGAGGATCCTCAGTGGAGAATAGACTCAGCTCAATCATACCCCAACCATCTCGCTGGGTCTTGTCTCACTGGCTTGGCCCTAAGGCTTCTAAATATCACCATGTCAGGCCATGAATGTCCTGGGCTCCCTGAGCCATTCAAAGTTTCTCCTGTGCTCAGGCTCAGGGCTTGGACCTTTCCCCCATAGCCACAGGTCCTATGGACTCAGCCCATTCAATATTTCTGGTCTGGTCCAAGCAGGTACTTGGTCAACAGCATAAACCCAGAACTCTGACCCAGAGCTCCTCATGTTGAAGGCTCTGGTGTTGAGGAAATAAGCCACAGCCTCATGAGGTTTTTTTTCTTGTCAGTTATGGAGCTTGAACTCTGGTCCTGGGCTCTGTCCCTGAGCTCTTCAGCTCAAAGTGAGCACTCCACCACTCGAGCCACTTCCAGTTTTCTGGAGATTACTTAGAGATAAGAGTCTTACGGATGGTCATGCCCAGGCTGGCTTTGAGCTGCAATCCTCAGATCTCAACTTCCTGAATAGCTAGGATTACAGGTATGAGCCACCTGCTCCCTGCTCAGCTTCCTGGGTTTCTAAGACTCATCCTTTCTTCCATATTCATACTGGTCCCTGGGGGTGAGGGTGGGGGATGTGCTCACCTTTATAACATGTTTTTTTTTTTTTTTTTTGTCGGTCATGGGGCTTGAACTCTGGGCCTGGGCGCTGTCCCTCAGCTCTTCAGCTCAAGGCGAGCACTTTACCACTTGAGCTACAGCGCCACTTCCGGTTTTCTGGTGGTTTTATTGGAGATAGGAGTCTCACGGTCTTTCCTGCCCTGGCTGGCTTTGAACCTCGATCCTCAGATCTCAGCCTCCTGAGTAGCTAGGATTACAGGCGTGAGCCACCAGCGCCTGGCTAAAGAAACAGGATTTTTTTTTTTTGTCGGTCGTGGGGCTTGAACTCTGGGCCTGGGCGCTGTCCCTCAGCTCTTCAGCTCAAGGTGAGCGCTCTACCACTTGAGCTACAGCACCACTTCCTATAACATGGTTTTTATGGAAAGCTGTAATGACAATTTTTCCCCTGAAGCAGATTTCAACATTGTGATTGAAGATTTCTGTCTCCATTAAAGACAAGGAAATAAAATTAGATCAGGCACTGGTGGCTCACACCTATAATCCTAGCTATGCAGGAAGCTGAGATCTGAGGATCATGGTTTGAAGGCCAGCTCAGGCAGGAAAGACTTTTATCTCCAATTAATCACCAAAATGCCAGAAGTGGAGCTGTGGCTCAAGTGGTAAAGTGCTAGTCTTGAGGGAGAGGACAGCTCAGGGATAGCACCAGGCCCTGAGTTCAACCCCCAGGACTCGAAAAAAAAAAAAAAACATAAATAGAAGTTTAACCACAAAAATGCTAGATCAGGGCTAGGAATGTGGCTTAGTGGTAGAGTGCTTGCCTAGCATGCATGAAGCCCTGGGTTTGATTCCTCAGTACACATAAACAGAAAAAACTAAAAGTGGTGATGTGGCTCAAGTGGTAGAGTGCTAGCCTTGGGCAAAAGCAGCTCAGAGACAGTGCCTAGACCCTGAGTTCAAGCCCCAGGACAGGTTTAAAAAAAAAAAAAAGCTAGATTAGGCCATTCCTGACAGAAAAGGCTAATGCTCAGATATGTATTTCCCAAGAACTATCTTGCCCTGGAATGCAGTAGATGCTCCTGTGCTTTAATCCTGATACATTTATTGTTATTGTTGTTATTATTATTATTTCCCCAGTTCTGGAGCTTGAATTCAGGGCCTAGGTGCTGTCCGTGAGCTATTTTGTTCCAGATTAGCACTCTACCACTTTGAACCACATCTCCACTTCTGGTGGTTTATTGGAGACAGGAAACTCAAGGACTTTCTTGCCTGGGCTGGCTTTGAACCCTGATCTTCAGATCTCAGCCTCCTCAGTAGTTAGGATTACAGTCGTGAGCTACCAGTGCCCAGCTTCTGGCTTTTATTTTTTATTTTTTTATTGGTATTTAACTGGAGATAAGAGTCTCACGGACTTCCTTGCCTTGGCTGATTTTGAACTGAGATCCTTAGAGTAGCTAGGTTGACAGGCAAGAGCCACTAGTACTGATGGGATTAGAAACTTTGCCTGGAAGGAGCCTCTTCTTGTCCAGCATTTGATAAAAGCCCAGGACTCATGATAATTAAGTCCAGCCCACCCCCTCAAGAACAAAACAGCAGGGCCTGTGGCAAAGGTGGTTTTTGTTTGTTTGTTTGTTTTTGTTTTTATTGCTGAGTCTGTGCAGGTAGCTAAGGAAAGTGCCGATTATGCCTTGGCCTCACCAGACAGAAGTTCCTTGTCCCGGGCTGTAATGCAGGCCAACGGCATAAGCAAAGATTTGGGGTTTCATGAGAAAGCGGACAGCAAGGAATGCAGGACAAACACAGGCCAGTGTCTCTGATGAGTCAAGCAGGCGTTGGCTTCTTCCTCCCAAGGAATCAGCCCTGAGGGCAAGGCTAAGGGACAGCTGGGGCACCTGGATTTGGGGCACAACCGAGGCTTCTGCCCTATCCAGAATCCTCTGCCTGGGGCTGATCAATAAACGCTGGACTCTGCCCCCCAGCTACCCCTCAGGACAGCCTGATTATTGGCCATAGCCCATGTCAACACTACCCTCCCTTAATATGTTGTCCCCAGAGCTACGAATATTGTGTGGGTGAGCAAAGTGGGGTGTAGATCTAGTGTCTAAGTACAGAGAGGGGAGATCTAGAGGGGGAAGGCCCCCCCCCCCCCGGTATTTGAGGGAGGGCTCAGTTTATATTTCTCCCTGGTACCTACGTCTATCACTCTACGCTTGTCACTAACTAATCGATGCTGGAGGTGTCACAGTCTAGGACTAGTTTGTACTTCATTCCTGAAGTTTCTAGGAAGGGAGCAGGCAGTCCCCAGTCACTTGGTAGGTGTGTGGGACTTGTCACATGGAGGTGCCAAGTGGACTGGACTGCTGGCCAAAGCAACAAGCCTGCTGGGGCGGAGGGACACAGGCTAGAGTCCTTCACGAAACCCTGGAGGAGGGAAGGGCTGATTGGTGAACCCAGACCCACCAGTTGAGCTGCGGCTCCTGGGGACAAGAGAACTGAAGGAGATTGGTCACTTGGGGCCTGCTGAGTCACTCCAGCTGCCCCGAGCTCCTGCCCTGTCCTAGCTGGGTCCAAGAGGCCAGTGCAACCAGGCGGTGAAGGGCCAGGTCTGGGGTTGGGGCATGGGGGAGGGTCGTGCCTCAAGTCTCAAGGGCTTTGGATCTGTGCCTAGGAGAGCAGCAGGGCTACCACTAATAGGGTTTCAGGGCAAGGGAGACACAAGAGTTGAGGCACCTGTAAAGAGAGAAAAGGGGAAAGAGAAGAAATGGCATCTCTGAGACTCTAAGTTAATGGGTTTATACATTGAATGAATGAAGCTGTGACACTGGGGGCTTGGAGGGGGTGGACCAAAAGAGCTTGAATGGCTGAGACTTCTTAGCTGAGAGAGGAGGCCTGTGACACTGGATGGAACCCAGTTTAGAGCCCCAGGGGGTGAAGTTTAGCCTGCAATGGGGGACGAAGGGGGTGGGGATGAGGTGGTTGGAGGCAGCGTTCAGTTGGTAGAGCGCTAGCCAATGACAGGAAGCATCATATATACCAAGTTCGAATCTGAGTCTCAGACCAAAAAAGAAAAAAAGAAAGGGGTGGGGTAGGGGGGGTAAGGAGTTGAAAGCCAGGTTAGGGTTTTGAATTCAGGAGGAGGAGAGGGGAATATCTAGCTAGCAAGGACCCCCACCTCAAAAGAGGCCGCAGTCTTTGAGGTTCTCCTTTATGATAATGTCGGTGACAGCATCAAAGACAAACTTGACATTCTGTGTGTCGGTGGCGCATGTCATGTGGGAATAGATCTCCTTCACATCACGCCGCATGTTGAGCTCAAGGAACTGCACCTTGATGTAGTTGCCAGCATCTTCATACGTGTTAGGTCCTGCAGCAGAGGGGAGCAGAAAGCACTCCCTTAGTCCAGGCCATCCATAGCCCATTGGCCCACTTCGATGGTGGTCTGGGGCTCCCGTAGGTGGTCAGGGACTCTTACCGTCATAATCCGGGAAGCAGATGCTAAGGTGTGCTTTTTTGATCTTCTCAGAGAAAACGTCCTTCTTGTTGAGGAAGAGCACAATGGAGGTGGTGGCGAAGTAACGGTGGTTGCAGATGCTGTTGAACAGGTGCAGGCTCTCGTGCATGCGATTCTGGGGAAGACAGCGGTTATGGGGTACTGGGGAACACCTCCAAGCCAGCCACCTCCAAGCCAATCATGCCCCAGAGCCTCCCTCCTAACTACTCCCAGAGACCTCGAACTCATGCCTGCTCTCCCTTGGCACTGTGAGCTATCTGCTTGTATTTTTTCTTTTTTCTGATCCTGGGGTTTGAACTCAGGGCTTGTGCATTGTCCTTAAGCTCTTCTTTCTTTCTTTCCTTCCTTCCTTTCGTTCTTTCTTTCTTTTTGGTTAGTCATGAGGCTTGAATTCTGGGCCTGGGCATTGTCCATTAGCTCTTCAACTCCAGGCTAGCGCTCTACCACTTGAGCCACAGCGCCACTTCTGGTTTTCTGGTGGTTCATTGGAGATAAGAGTCTCATGGACTTTCCTGCCTGGGCTGGCTTTGAACCTCGATCCTCAGATCTCAGCCTCCTGAGTAGCTAGGATTACAGGCATGAGCCACCAGTGCCCAGCTTGAGCTTTTTCTCTCAAGGCTAGCGCTCTACCACTTGAACCACAGTTCCATATTTGCATTGTTGGTAGTTAATTGAAAATAAGAATCTTGCATAGTTTCTTGCCCAGTCTGGCTTTGAACCTTGACCCCAAGACTTCAGCTTCCTAAGTAGCTAGGGCCACAGGCTTGAGCTGCCAGTGCCTGGTTGTCCCTAGCTTTTTTTTTTTTTTCCTTCAAGGCCAGTGCTCTATTACTTGAGCTAGAGTTCCACTTCTAGCTTTTTTTGGCACTTAATTGGAGATAAGAGTCTCAGGGGTTGCTCAGTGGTAGAGTAATTGCCTTGTATGCATGAGGCCCTGGGTTCAATTCCTCAGCACCACATAAGCAGAAAAAAAGCCAGAAGTGGTGCTGTGGCTCAAGTGGTAGAGCGCTCGCCTTGAGCTGAAGAGCTGAGGGACAGCGCCCAGGCCCAGAGTTCAGACCCCACTGGTCAAAACAAAAACAAAAATAAAAACAAAAACAAGAGTCTCAGGGATTTTCCTGCCCAGGCTGGCTTTAAACCACAATCTTCAGATCTCAGCCTCCTGAATAGCAAGGATTATAGGCATGAGCCACTAGTGGCCAACACAGCTTTAGCTTACCTGTTATAGATTTCTCTGGAACAACTCTCCCATCTCAGACTCTCCCACAACTCCTCCTCCCCCTTGAAGCCCGCAGTCCCTGCTTGGCACTCACCACTTCGTCATCTTCCACCAGCACCATGTCGTAGGCGCTCAGGGCCGCAATAAAGATGATGCAAGTCACCCCCTCGAAACAGTGGATCCACTTCTTGCGTTCAGAGCGCTGTCCTCCGACATCGAACATCCTGTAGGTGGTGGGGATTTGAACCTGCAGCTTTGAGTCCCTGTGCATGCCCACTGCTATCCCCTTACCTACCCTGGCTGGAGAATAAATGGGACTGGCATCTTGAAGGATTAGGCCTTTTTTTGTTGTTGATGTTGGCAGAGTTAGGGACCAGGTCTTGGAACAGTGAATTGCTCTGTTGAGTGTGAGTGTGTGTGTCTGGGGAGGGGAGGAACCTCTTACCTGAAGTGGAGGTCTTTGAAGGAGAACTGTGTCTCAATGATGCCAGTGGTCTTCACACGTGAGCGTAGCACATCCTGCTCAGTGGGTACATAGCCTGGGGTTACCAGGCGCTCCAGGTCTGAGAGATAGCTGAGGAAGAAGACCCCAGGGTGTGGTGAATATGTAGCAAGGAAGGGCATGATAGGGCTCCACCAGAGTTCCCACGTTCTGCCCCAATGCTCACTAGCCAGCTGAGTCATTGAGCTGGTACTCCGAGGCACGATCAAAGCAGGCCTGGATCCCCGAGTCCTTCCACAGCCGCTGGATGATGTCTGACATCTCCTTGGGCATGGTGCCCTCCTCAATAGTGTCTGCCATGTGCATCAACTTCCGTGCATCGTCCTGGAGGAAGCGGGGGAGGGGGAGTGGTAGGTAGTGAACCACGGATCTGGGCCCAGCCAAGTACTTTATGCTCTTCCCTCTGGGCCCCCATGAACCTGCTGCCTGGCACACCTGGCGAGCCGAGTCTCCATACTGGATGTTGAGTGTGGTCATGGCTCGCACAATGGCCAGAATGGATTGCAGTGTGTTGCCATAAATGATGGCAATGAACTCGAGGCACTCTTCCAGTGAGTACCCGTCCTGGTGGATAATCCTGCAGTCAACGTGAGCCGAGTCAGAACTTCATGGGCCACAGGTGAAGACCAGACCCCCACCCCCAGCCCTATTTGTATGCACCCACCCCCAGGGAGCCTCCAGATACCAAGGGCAACTCACTTCATCTGCTTGACAATGGTGCTCTTCCCAGATTCACCAGCACCTGGAAAGGGAAGTCTGTCTCAGCCTGCACTCAATACCTCCCTGTACCCATAAGATACCTGGAAGATGAATTGGCTAGGTGGATCTGCAGCCAAGAGGCTCGGGGTGCCAGCTAGACCACTAATGACACCTACTCTTACTCCCATCCAAAGCATGGTCCTTGTGGTAAGATGCTTATTGAACAAAACGTTTGTAAATGGTAGGGAAATAAAAAGAAGCGGCGTGAGGGAATCAGAAATGTATGCCAAGCTAGGTGCTGTGGCTCATGTCTGTCATCCTAGCTACTCAAGAGCCTGAGATCTGAGGATCACGGTTCAAAGTCAGCTCAGGCAGGAAAGTTTGTGAGACTCTTATCTCCAATAAACCACCAGGAAATTGGAAGTGGTGCTGTGGCTCAAGTGGTAGAGCGCTCGCCTTGAGCTGAAGAGCTGTGGGACAGCGCCCAGGCCCAGAGTTCAAGCCCCAAGACCAACAAAAAATAAAATAAAATAAAATATGCCAAGACCAAAAATAAATCCTAGAGCACCACTCTGTGGACCTACTTGGTATTACATGCACAGGATTGAGCTCAAAAGAAAATTTGCTGAGTGCAGGTGGCTTAGCTACATAGGAGGCTGAGATCTGAGGATCGCAGTTCAAAGCCAGCTTGGACAGAAAAGTCTGTAAGACTCTTATCTCTTAACTTATTCCTGATGGTTAATTCACCGTCAGAAAACCTGAAGTAGAGCTGTGGCTCAAAGTGGTAGAGCACTAGCCTTGAGCAAAAGAGCTCAGGAACAATGCCCAGGTCCTCCCTGGGTTCAAGCCCCATGACTGACAAAACCAAAACCCAAAGCTGGGTGCCGGTGGCTCACACCTGTAATCCTAGCTATTCAGGAAGCTAAGATCTGAGGATTGCAGCTCCAAGCCAGCCCAGGCAAGAATGTCTGTGGGTTCTCTGATCTTTAATAAACCACCAGAAAACCAGAAGTGACACTGTGGCTCAAGTGGTAGAGTGCTTGCCTTGAGCTGAAGAACTGAGGGGATAGCACCCAGGCCCAGAGTTCAAGCCCCATGACTGACAAAACAAAACAAAACAGGGCTGGGAATGTGGCTCAGTGGTAGAGTGCTTGCCTAGCATGCACGAAGCCCTGGGTTTGATTCCTTAGTACTATATAAACAGAAAAAGCTGCAAGCAGTGCTGTGGCTCAAGTGGTAGTTAGCCTTGAGCAAAAATAGCTCAGTGGCCAGGCCCTGAATTCAAGTCCCTGGATTGGCAACAAACAAAACAAAACTGTGGGTGCACATGTGTGTTTTGCCTGTACTCAGAGTCTTGCACTTTTGCTTAGCTTTTTTTTTTTTTTTGCTGGCACTCTACTACTTGGACCACACCTCCACTTCTGGCTTTTTGCTGGTTAGTTGGGAGATAGGGATTTCTTTGATTTCCCCACTAGGGTTGGCTTTGAATCTTGATTCTCAAATCTCCTGAGATTTTAGGGGCCACCAGCATCCAGCACCCCTTACTTTTCACCTGAAGGCTGGAGGTCTCCTAGAGGCTAGAGGGAATTAGTCCCTTGGGGTGTGTAAGAGAACAGAAATGACATTCCCTTTAAGCTTGCACGTTAGAGGGTAATGGGCACAGTTAATGGGATTTCCAGCTTAGCCTCTCTTGCCTTCCTGCTTGGGGCCCTGGCTTTAGTCCCTCTCTACCCAAGCTTGACTGAGACTGGAGAGTATGAATGGAACCTGCCCCATGCTCCGAAAGTAGCTCTTTCCTAGGCGCTGGACAGTGACTTCCCATAGGACCATAGGCTCAACTTTGCTTATTTCCCAGAGGCCTCACTACCTATCCACCTCCTTTACCCACTTCACAGCTCTGTCAGTGATAAAGTTCCAGCACCCAAGGCCCATTGTTTGTGGGTTTGGATGGCCCAAGAGGCTCCTAGGAGGAGTATGACCTTATTTCCAAGTGAGGAGCCCTAGGTGGGGCTCCCAGCAAAGTTCCCCCTTCCCCGCCCCCAGTTTCTTGAGCCTTACTCAGGAGCCCTGAGAAATCAAGGACTAGAACTAGAGGAAGTACAGCTAAGGCAAGAGTGTACTTGAACAGGCACTTGTACAGAGGTGTGTGTACTTGTCACACACTTCTTTGGAGGGGGAGATTGCCCTCCGCCCCGGAGATTATTCCTGGGGAAACCTGGGACATCATCACCTGTCAGTTCTAGGTCAGGGCTCTCCGGCTCTGAACCCTACCCCGTCACAGGCTCGCTCTTTCTCCCCAAATCATCCTGGCTTCCTGCCTAGCTCCTACAGACACTCCCCCTGCCCCCCACCATCCCCACTGGGACCACACCCCTACCCAGCAGCAGCAGTTTCACAGTTCGAGCATCCTTCTCTGCGTCCTCCTTCAGCTTCTTTTCCAGCTCCCTGGAGTGCTTCTCTTCAGCACTGGCCCCAGCCCCCATGATCACAACAGCAGGCAAAAGATCAGGTGAGCTGGTGCCTCTTCCGATGGAAGGGATCTCAAGAGCCTAGCTTAGGCCAGTCTCTGGCCTCCCCAGACGCCTTTGTTGGCCCAAGATGACTGGCAATCAACTGGCTTGCCACAGACCTGCGCAGGGCCTGGTGGGGCTGCTTAGTGGGATTTGGAAACTGGGGGTGCCCAAGACCCAATCAGAGACAAGGACAGGTGAAGCCAGCTCAGCCCCCTCCAACCTTCTAATCGGGGTGGCATGGCCTCAATCCCTTAACCGCTGACTCTGCACCCCTTCCACCCCCCAAAAAATTTTCCAGGAGAGGCCCCAGGTAGTCCTTCCCCTGCCCTACAGCAGGAGACATGTTCAAGAGGATTGTGGGCCACCTACCCTAGGGGTGGGGCTGGCAGTAGGAAGGCACAGAGGGAGAGGCAGGCATGGTGTACTTGTCAGCATTGCTCCTCTGTATGTGTGTGTGTGTGTGTGTGTGTGGTGTTGTTTCTAGGTTTGAACTCAGGGCCAGAGTGCTCCTACTCTACCACCTCAGCTTTTTGGTGGTTAATCAGAAACAAGAATCTCACAGGGCTGGGCAGGTGGCTTTGTGGTACAGTGCTTGCCTAGCATGCATGAAGCCCTGGGTTCGATTCCTCAGTACCACATAAATAGTAAAAGCCAGAAGTGGTGCTGTGGCCTTGAGCAAAAGCTCAGCAACATGTGCCCAAGCCCTGAGTTCAAGCCCCAGTACTAGCAAAAACAACAACAAAAAAGTGACTTTTTTTTTTTTTTGCGCAGGCTGGCTTTGAACTTTGATCCTCAGATCTCAGCCTCTTGAGTAGCTCAGATTACAAGCGTGAGCTACTAGTACCCAGTTTCAGCACTCCTCTTTAACTTGTAGGACATTACTCTGGGAGATGAATGGCCATAGCAGAGGCGCACAGGGTCCCACAGCAGGCAACAGGCAGGTGGCTCTGATCCAGGCTTCTATCCTGTTAGGAACCACAAAGACAAATGTTGACTTTGCACCTGACCCTGAGCATGGCTGCTATATGCTTCTGATGAACTCTAGAGATGTGCACATCTATTACATGTGCCTAGGTGTGTGTGCTTGTGCACTGGTAAACTTTCAAGTGCATGTGCTCCTACATGTGTTCACATGCCTTTGTATGCATGTTTGCGGGCACACACACATATATGCACACACAGATGTGTGCTAGCGATAAATTTGGTGCTAGAGATACATGCTAGGCATCTGTTTTACTACAGTGCTATCTCCTTAGCACCCTGTGATTTTCCTTTGTGTTAGAATGAACAAATGTGTATACATGCATAACAATTTTTTGAACATTTGTCTGGCTGTGAATCTGAGCATGTTCACTCTTTTTCTGTTTTGTTAGTCACGGGGCTTAAACTCTGGACCTGGGCTCTGTTCCTGCGTTCTTCAGCTCAAGGTAAGCGCTCTACCACTTGAGCCACAACGCCACTTCCAGTTTCTTGTGGTTTATTGGAGATAAGAGTCTCATGGACTTTTCTGCCTGGGCTGGCTTTGAACTGTGATCCTCAGATCTCAGCTTCCCGAGAAGCTAGGATTACAGGCATGAGCTACCGGCGCCTAGCTAGCATGTTCATTCTTACATGTATACACTACATGTTTGTTTGTGTATATGTATAGTGTATGTGTGTGTGTGTGCGTGTGCGTGCACGCTGGTTTAGAGCCTGGAACTCAGGGGCTGGGTGCTGTCCCTTTGCTCAAGGCTAGCACTCTTACCACGTGAGCCACAGCTTCACTTCCAACTTTGGAGATAAGTGTCTCAGAAACTTTCCTGCTGGGGCTGGCTTTGAACTGTGATCCTCAGATGTCAGCCTCCTGAGTAGCCAGGATTACAGACGTGAACCACCAGCACTTGTCTTCTGTTCTCTCCACTGCTGTTCTAGGAACTGCTTCATAGGTACCTGAGAGCTTTCCTGCCTCAGCTCTGGGTGGAGAGCCCTGCTCAGGTAGAGCACACTGATAGAAGAGGTTCAGCTTGAGCTGAGTGCTGAGCTCTCTTCATCCCACTTTACCTCAGGCGCTCAAGATTCTCTCCTAGTCGGATTGCTTGCCTGAAACCCGATGGCCCTTTAGTCCTCAATTCTGCTGCAGACTCAAGAAACCACAAGGGGGTGCCAGGACCTCAGACACCGAATGCTTGTGTGGGACGTAGACACTGGTTCCAACCATAGGCTGGTAACTTTGATGTTCAACTTCTTGGGTGAGGAGTGAGGTTGAGCCATCTGTACCACTTTTAGTCTTTGGGCTCCATCCATTCCCAAACCATCACCCCACATTGTAGGTGGGTCCCAGAAGTCTTCACGGCCTTTCACACTGCTAGGATAGTGTGGGAATGAACCAAGACTTGTTAACCCACACCTGTTTTCTCTATACTGTTTATTGTTGTTTGCATTTATTTGGTTGTGTGTATGTGTGTGTGAACCCATACTAGGACTTTAAATTGCAGGCTTTATGGTTTCACTTGACATTTTCCACTCATAGCTGGCATTCTACCACTTAAGATGCACCTCTAGTTCCAAATACTTTGCTGGCTAATTGGAGGTAAGTCTCTTGGATTTATGTCTGCCTGGGCTGGCTTCAAACCACAATCTTCAGATCTCAGTCTGCTAACTAGGATTATAGATGTGAGCCACCAGTGCCTGGCTAGATTATTTTGAGGCAGGGTCTCAATATACAGCCCTGGCTGGCCTTGAACTCATCATTCTCCTACCTCAGACTCGTAACTGTTGCAGATTACAAGCTTGTGTCACCACGTTTCTCCATACTATCTAAGTGGGGCCATTCCATCCCCTCCCAGTGCCCCCTTGCCCACTAAATGTGGGCCTAACCCCCTCCCCCCTCCACCATCACCAAGGAGAGAAACCAAAGTCTAGTCCCAGAGCCAGTGTTTATTAGCAAGATGGAACCCAAGGACACCTGTGGCCTGGGCAGCAGAGGGCTGCCAGGAGCCCCCACCCATCTACCCAACTGCTTCCAGAACTATTTGTGCCCATCACTGGAAGTGGTGGGTAGAAGAGAGCTCGGCAGGGCAGGGGCGGGGGGGGGTGCATGGGGGAAGAGGAGCCTGCAGGCCCAGGCCTCCGCCATGGCTTGTCTCCCCTCAGAACTGAGGGCTCCCTTCAGCCCTGCCTGCATGTGGCTCCCCCCACTGCTGTTCTCCCAGTCACTGAGTTAAAGTGGCACAGGAAAGCTAAGGAGGTAGAGTGAGGCAGGGGACAAGGAGCTGAAGGCCCTGCCCCGCTCGGGCAGGATTCCTCTCCTCCTGTCTCCAATAAATAGAGAATAAATACCTGGGAAGGACTGGCCTTGACTGAGGCCTCAACCCAGGCAGGGCTCAGCATCCTCTGACAGCCCCCCTTCTTCCCTTCTCTGGATACCCTGAGCCCCTATCCCCAGACTCCCAAGCAGTCCTGGTTATCTGTGCCTAAGCCAAGCACAGCAAGCAACACGCATCAGCCAAGGTGTGTGGTTTGTGCCCCCCGGAAGTAGGGGGCTCACAACCTCCTTGTGCTCTGTAGATCTCGGCAATGGCGGTTGAGCATGCAGACTTCCGGCAGAGTCTGAGGACTTGCAGTGGGTGGGGTCCTGGCTTGGCCTCTGCCAACTTGCTGGGCCTGATTGGGTGGGCTCAGTTCTTTGCCGTCTTTGACCAACAATGGGTCTGAAGTTCTGGATGATGCTGCCACGGAGGCAGGCTATATACAACCCACCAATAAATACTGTCTTTGCAGGGGCAGGGTATGTATAGAATATAGATTTTTTATATTTATATTTATATATATATATATCTTTTATATTAAAAGGGATGAGGGCTAGGCTGGCCCAATGCAGGGCTCAGGTAGTTGGCCTCATGTGTCTGGAGGGTGATGCCGTCGATTCCGAGGTTTTTTCTGGTCCTGGAGTTCAGGAGGTCTAGGTGCCCCAGGAGCCTCCCTGGGGCTAGGGGGCACATGACGCCAGTAACCTTGGCAGTACTGATGGATAAGGCCCACTTCTGGCTGGGCTAGCAGCTGGGCCAGCTCCTGATAAGGAGGTGTGGAGGGGAATGCGCCAGGGGGTGGAGGGACGCTCACAGCCAGAGGGGGAAAGAGGGCAGCATGGACGGCCTCACGACCCAGTACGTGCAGCTGCACTCGCGTGACGACGTGCTTGAAGTTGTTCTCAGTGGCCGTACAGGAGTAGAGGCCGCGATCACCGAGCTGCAGGGCACGAAGCAATAAGCCCTGCTCTGTGCGCAGGAAGCGGTCCTCTGCACGGATCTGCAGGGGCAGGGGTGGGGGCGGGGCTCAGGGGCTGTGTCACCCCCCTGCTGCCCTAGCCAGCTTCCAGGTAAGACCACCTTTTGTGGCCATTCCAAGTAGGGACTCCTACAGGAGATTTCCATATACCAAGGAAAAAATCTCCAGGATGGTTCCTCCTAAGGAGAGGTAATTGAATAAGGTATTCACACGTTTCTACTTCAGGAAGGATGGTCTTAGGAGGGGGGCGGGTGTGGGGTTCTGCACAACGAATGAATTTTGGAGCACACGCATATAGAATTGTCATTTAATGAGAATACCCAATTGTGGCACCCACATAGAATTTCCACGTAAGGAGGGACACCTGCAAGTTGCTTCCCTCCCCCCTACAGAATAAATGCTACCCACATCATTTCTATATACTGGCGCTCATCCACATAACATTCCATACAAGGAGGTATAAATATGGAATTCTCATGAAATGAGACATACCTATAATGGTTCCACGTAAATGATGCCTGTCCCATGGAATGTCTATAGAATTCTTGTCACTCAAATGATTTCCACGTAGGTTTGGGAGCTTCGAAGGGGTTTCATGGACCAAGGGCTGCCCCAGATTAGCAACTGGACTACAATTTACCCACACAGAAATTTCCCATTATCCACGGCGCTATTGGGGACTCGAACTCACCTCGCGGCGACGGTCGCTGGGATCTCGCTGGAACAGCC